GTGCCAACTAAGCAGCACAGCTTTCATTTTTAAAAATCAACATTTAATGTTTTGGGGTAACATGAATATTACACGAATATAAATGTACACAAAGCAGGGACATAAGAACCGGAGAGGCAGTTTGTTTTTATTTACTTTCCACTTGGTGTCACAGATGTATGCAAAACATGTACACAAGCAAATCCACAGCTTACAACTGCAAAAGGGCAGATTTCATGCTTTCTGTACTCCTGATCCTGCACCACTGGGAGTTTTGTCATTTACCTCTCTGGACACTAGCTCAGATTTTATGGTAGCAGTCTTACATGGTAAAAGGCCACACACAGCGTGACAAGAGGGCACGGGACACTTCTCTCCATGCACAAGCAGGTTATTTCTCTCATGCCCAGGAAATAGGTTCCACTGTGTTGAAAAGGAACAGCATCATCTTCTAGATAGGTGGGGTGCAGTCACCAGTACATGCTAACCAAACTGCACACACTAAGCAGCAAACGAGTGCATGTTATTGCACATTCCCCAGGCTCACCTGGATGGATACTGCACCTGCATTGCTGTAGGAGAGGATGCACTGCTCAGTGCAACCACCTGAGTCAGAATTTAGCTTCTGTAGCTGATTGGTAACTATAGAGGTAAGATAATTTGGCTGCACTGGGCATATACAGAACCAATCAAATTGCTATAAGTTTCTCTTTGGAAAAATATCTCTTAGCCACCATTCTCTAGAACATGCGCAAAACATTTGCTACTGTAGGAAACAGTTATTGAGTATTAGGCCAAAATCCAATGTGCTAATCAGCTCCAAAACAACTTTTAATAATACATAAGCATATGCCTAAAATGGCTCTCAGAAAAATAAAGCACAAAATGGCTCTCCCCAGTAAGCATTTGTATAAAGCCAGGTGTCTTGCTTTATAGTTATAATTGACTTTAACACCACTATGTGGCAAATGATATATATGAAAACTAATGTTCAATTAAAACACAGTGCTGTGGGCTTTTGGTTTTAATAGAGATGTACAAACAGACTGCCTGCACATTTTTTGAAGGAAAATGAAGGAAACAGTGAGGAATCAGATAGCTACTAAAAGCTAGGTTTTGTGACATATCACAAGGTTATGCTGTCACTTCAGACTGTAATATGATGCCCAAACTCTGAGAAGTCAAAATTCACTCTTTAGTGTTTGTTTGAGACGGATCTGAGCCACAGTCTCTACATCCAAATCCAACTCCTTATTGCGCTTTCAGGGACAGGGCTTTGGTTTGACCTAACACGGAGATGGGACAGCTGTGAAGTCTGGATGTGATCTGAAGCTTGGGGTGTTTGGGCCCTGGAGTATTGCTTTAGGCCCCTGCTAAGTATTGGTGGATTGAATAGATGCTATTCACTGATATTTAATTCCATAATCACTCTGCTATGTTTGAAAGAGGCAGAGGTGCATTTGCAGTACAAATTCTAAACAACTCACTCGGTTTCTCACATTCTGACATCAGGAGTGTGAAAATAACCTGTTTCTGTAATCCTGAGTTGTTGGGGGGCGGGGCGGGGGGGAAGGAGAGGAAACTAACAGACAAAATATGTTGCTGGTTAGCAGAATATATTTTTTAAACCTCCCTTTTCCAAATTGAAACCTGAACAAAGGAAATTCATTTCTGTGAAGGATAGTACCCAAGCAACCTGACAGTACTTTGCTGTTATATATACCATTGTGTCTCCCATATTCCAGACTCTACAGCGAGTCTGCAGTACAAATGGGGAGGGTATTTTATCATGCAAGAAGGATGCCCATCAGCCCCGTCTCTTAAGGGTGCATGAGAGGAAAGATCTTCTTGTGGGCTGGGTTCCAGGAGATCTGGGTTCAATTCCCAGCTCTGCCACAGACTTTCTGTGTGATGCTGGGCAAGCCACTGAGGTGGAAGGCTCCTTAGTCCAACATTTAGGCACATCTGGTGGTAGAACGGTTGAGCCATCAGGCTTGTCTGACTGTCTATGAAATTTCTTTTGGGGGCAGGAGTATATACACCCAGGGAGTGGAGGGTGGCATTGGAGTCCTTCAGGATACGCAAAGACTCACCTGTCTAATGATTAAATAGAAGTGTCATCGAAGGGCAGATCCTCCACGGTTTCTGAACCTCCCTGGGAAACCCTGAAGCATGAACCCATGATTCCCTGCACATTGCAATGGCTGTAGCCATCACCCCTGAAGATGTCTCAGATGCATCTACCACTGATGGAAGACTGGTCCCGGCAACAATCTTGCCTTCTTCTATAAAAGCCTGAAAACGAGCTCTGTCCTGCTGCGGCAACTTCTCAGCAAAGTCCACAGATTCTGAATAGTTCAGGAAATCGTACTTAGCCATCAGTGCTTGGTAGTTGGCTGTCCTGAACTGAAGGCTAGAAAAAGAAAAGACCTTCCTTTCCAATAAGTCAAGATGTTTGCCTTCCTTATCAGTCAGAGTAGATCATGAGTGTTGCTGCCTAGATTTCTCCATGGAGCACTAAAGGGTTTGCGACAGCATGAGAGAACAGACATTCCACCCCTTTGCTGGGACATGGTAATGTTTCTCTGCCCTCTTAGGAGTAGGGGCACAAGTAACTGGGGAATGCCAGACCACTCTAGCTGACTCCAGTATGGCTTTATTAACAGGGAGCACTATTTGACTGGAACCAGAGGATAGCAGGATGTCCAGGAACTTATGCTGAGGATCCTGAACTTCCTTAAGAGGAATCTGAAACTCCTCTGCAATTCTACAAAGAAGTTCTGGAGGAGGGAGAAGGATGGAGACATCGGAGCCACCACCTCATCTGGGGATGAAGATGACAATCTTGTTGGTTCCAGTGGAACTGCTGGGTCCGGCATGTGTTCCTCCTCCTCCTCAACTGGATTAGGAGGCAGCTGTGGTTGCCCTCTCAGACAGGTGGATGAGATGGCTCCCTAGCACATGGACCGACATGGAGGCAGGGCCGGCTCCAGGGTTTTGGCCGCCCCAAGCAGCCAAAAAAAAAGAAGCCGCGATCGTGATCGCGATCTGCGGCGGCAATTCGGCAGAAAGTCCTTCGCTCCGAGCGGGAGTGAGGGACCGTCCGCCGAATTGCCGTTGAATAGCTGGACCTGCCACCCCTCTCTGGAGTGGCCGCCCCAAGCACCTGCTTGCCAACCTGGTGCCTGGAGCCGGCCCTGCATGGAGGGATGGTATGGGTCACATGGCTCTGAATAAGGCCAATAAAATGAATTAGATGAAGGTGGCAGAGGTCCCCATGGCACGGGGTACTAACAGCTGTGAGGCAGATGATGAGGTGGAGGTTGATCCCAAACTGGTTCAGGCCTCCTGTCTGGGAAGGCATGTTTTGGAGGAGGAATTAATGGTTCATCGCGTAGTTCAGAATCTTTTGAGGAAGAGAAAGCCGTAGTCAGTCCACCTTGGTCAGAGGTATGATGTGAGCTAGGGCACATGTGCGGACCAACGAATTCTGCTTTCAAAATTCTTCTGCTCCAGGTGCTTGGAACACATGTACCCACAGTGGAATACACACAGGGATCAGCACTCGAAGACAAATACACAGTATTGATCAAGCCTTTGCTGAGAATGCTTTAAAGGGAACTGGCGATGCAATCTGTTCCAAGCCTTTCGTGGTATGTATCGATGCCATCCATGATGAAGCTTGCAAAGAATTAGTGTTACTAGTGTGGTATTTAATGGAGAGGAAGGAATGGTAGTGGAGAGATTTCTAGATTTAAATAAGTGTAATATAGGTATCGATGTATCCATATTTGAGAAGATAAATGAATGCTTTCGAGAACATTTCATTCCATGGGAGAATCTAATAGAATTCTCCAGTGATAATGCCTCTGTAATGAAGGGAGTTAATCACTCTGTTCTTACAGAACTAAAAGGAAAGCAAACCAAGGTTTATAATGTTGGGTGTCCATACCATCTGATTCACATTGTGGCTAACAAAGCTACAAAGATGTTAGCAGTAGATGTTGACAATACAGTAACTAGAGTATATGGTCACTTCTCAAGAAGCTCTAAAAGAAAAGAAATACTGAAAGAATTTGATGATTTTTGCAGTGTAGAAAGCAGAATTTTTCTGAACCATGTGCTAAGTCGAGGGATAAGTTTGCAGCACTGTTTAACCAGACTACTTCAGCAATATCTAGCTTTGAAGGCATATTCCCCCCCCCCCCCCCGTGAATAAAACACCCGCTGTAAAATCCCAAACTAATCTTTGAAAATCTACAAATTGAACTGTATTACTTGTTTTTGCGTAATGTTTTGCCTGTGTTTGATAGTTTGTATGAGATGCTGCAAAGTGAAGCCCCCCTCGCCCACTGCTTGCATGACAGCATTATGCACCTGTTCCAAAAGATCTTTGGAAGATACATAAAGCCATCCTGTCTCAAAGAAACAAAAGAATTGTCAAAGGTAGATTTCTTAAATCCAGAAAACCAAGTGGAGGATAACAAATTGTTTGTTGGATTTTGTGCCTCACCATTCCTGAAGTTTGAAGAAATTCAATGCAGTGCTCATTGTGACACTATCAGTAAAAGTTTTTACTCTGATGTGAAGTGAATGAATGCGAAGCTATGAAAGCTCTTCTGGAAAAGCTTCAGAGAAGGATGACATTTTACAGTCTTTGTGTTAGATTTCAGGAAGAGAAGCAGACATGAGTTTTCTATTCTAGTGAAGACACTGACAATCTTTCCAGTAATTCCCACAGAAGAAATGGACAGCCTCAACAATGAATTTGTTACCTCCCAGTTAACAAAGAAGTTTTAATTTGAAACAGAATCAATGCTAGTGACGTCTTTTTGCAACAAGATGAGTGAACTAAAAAGTCCAGTGTCAGGGACACCACAGTTTCCACTGCTTTCCAAAGCTATCTGAGTTTTGTCTCATAGCAATGCTGGATGTGAAAGGATTTTCAGCATATGTGCAAAAATTTGCACCCATCAGAGAAGTGAAATCAAAACTAGGACACTAAGTACTTGCCACCAAAATGAATTTGTTTTGCAAACAGTACTGCTACCAGCTCTATCCGAGCAAGGAGAGGCTGAAGAAAGCAAGAGTGATATGTTCACAGTACTTCAACAAGATAATTAATAAGGTAAATACATGTTTCTATGGTATTATTTAGCAAAGTAATATAAGGGAACTTATATAGTGTGTCTATTCAGATAGGCTTTATTAGCAAATTAAATACCACCACAAATCTCCCTGAAATTATTTTGGAAATGTTGGTCAGTATGGATATCTGAGACAGAAGGCAGAACTGAACCAGGGTCTCCCATGTTCTGGGTGACTACCAGTGTTGGTGGGAGGGGGCTTCTCCTCTGTTTTTCTTGAGAAAGGGATGACCTGGCTTAGGCAATGAATTCCAAGAAAGGCTTCATGGCTGTGAATCCCAAGTGGAGAGAGATGCCTCCCTTAGGCCTGGAGTTAGGCACCTACCACCTACTGAAGAGTGGGGTTTAGGACACACCCCTCTCCTTGGCATGTCATACTGGCTATCTTGGGCAGCTCCCAGCTCAATCTGCTGCCTTTTGTGAATCCTATATTTAGGCAACTAATTCTCCCCTTGTTGTATAGGGAGCCCAGGTGCCTAACTCAGGGCTGTGAATTCCACTTGGTGGCAAAGTGCCTTAAAGTTAGGCTTTGCAATGCTGAGCCTAGTCCCCCATGTGACTCTCATGCTGAATCTCTCAGTGCCTCAGTTCCTAGCTGTAAAATGGGGCCAAAAACACTTCCTTTGGCTGTACAGACTGTAAGCTCTTCAGGACAGGGAGAGTCTTCTACTAAGTATTTGCAAAGCACCCTCTGCAACAGGGGTCTGATCTCTGGACGTTAGGTAGTATTGTAATACTACTGCTGATAAGGAAGGGTATGAGTCCATCTCTTCTCTTATAGCTGTATGGACTCTTTAGAGCTAACTGGAATAAAAAGTACTAAAAAAACTTACTCGTGGGTGTGAAATTAAGCAGGAGTGGCTCTGAACATACACAAAGAGCAGATCTGTTGAGTAAGAAGATGCTATTTTTGAATAGTCACTTTCCAGAGTAGAATTGCTTGTTAACATCACTGCAGATTCTAAAGCTTTTGTTGGGTTTTTTTGGGGCGGGGTAAAGAAAACGAGTCATTATATAGAAAATGGTTTTATATCTCTGAAAATAGATATAAAATTCGCAGAAAGCTGCTGTCCATTACAAACCCTTAATGGGTGACATGTGAAAGGCTTTTCTTGATGCCTCACCTGGAGAGACTGATTTCTGAGAAGGGAAGGCCTATTTGTGGTGTATTGGTATCTAACCAGTTTCAGACTAGTACAGCAGGGTGTAATACCACTTACAATGACAGCAGAATAAAGATATACTGCGAGATATATTGTTTTCAACAAAGCATACCTTTGAAAAATATATTCGGTCTTTCAAAGGTTATATTAGTGAAGGTTTAAAATGTGGAAATCCAATATATTTGTATTTTTTAAAACAAAGATGAACTGTCCAAGGCATTGCTAATTATTAAACCAGAAGAAAGTTTAATTGCCATTCTGGACGATCTTCCTCAGGAGTCGGAGTCTTGACATTACCACATCCCAGTCTGCATAAGCACCTTCGAGGTGACGGGATATTTCTGTTCCTGATTGGTAGCTCCGGCGACCATGCAGTAAACGCCAGTTGTCAAATGTTACTATGTCTCCTACGAAGAGATTAAACAATGTACTTCACAACTTTGTCATGTTTTCCATCATTTCAAATATATAACACATTGAAGTGCTTTAAATGCATTTGTCTGAGTGTCTCTTTAAACCCACAGCCCCAAAACACCTGTTCCCCACAACTGAGAAATGTAAACATTCCTAGAAAGCACAACATTCCATCACTTACATCTGTCTGTGCCTGGGGTAACTGAGCACCTCATAATCATTAATATACTGATGCTCACAACATCCCAGTGGCATTGAGCAGTGCTATTATCACCATGTTACGGATGGGAACTGAGACAGAGAGGGACTAAGTGACTTGCCCACAGTCACCCAGGAAGTCTATGGCTGGGAATTGAATTCAGATATCTCAAGTCTCAGGCTGGAGCCCTAGCCACTGTATCTCCTGCAAACTGCAACTCCCTCCCATATCACTGGGGTTATAGAGGCTGCAGGAGTACCACAACCCTATGGCTGGAATAACCACTTTGCAAGGATCCAACCAGCACAGAGAAAGGGGTCTGACATGAAATAAAATGACCTCACCAATGGTGGCAATGCAGCACAGCCTCTACCCCCCTGAATGGGGGGGTGGGGGGGAGGGGAGGAATGTACAGGGTATCCAATTCATCATTGTAGGGGATAATCACAGCGCAGAATGTAGCTAGGAGGCTCCCACTCCTCAGTCAGGGACCATTCACATTTGGCCAAGTTCTCAGTCTTTGAAAAACTGCAGTTTGCACCTCAGGTGCCAACTTTCACATGGTAAATAAGCACCTCAACTTTCACAATAAGCCAAAAATCAAGCTAATCCCATATCAAAACAAGGCCAAAACAACCTAATCCCTAAAACCCCAACACTGTATGTGACTAGATCCCCCCGACGTGCAGTCTGGGACTGTGGTGGGCCCGCTGTGCACCCCTGACTCTCTCCACCTCTGGCCCCTGCTTGCCGGGAGCCGATCAAAAAAAAAGAAGCAACAAGCTGCAACAAGCTACAAGCCAAACAAGCAACAAGCTACAAGCCAAAAACTAGCCAACAAGCAACTCACAAGCCAATTAGCCCAATTTCTGTGTTTTTTTTTCATGGGTTTGGCATGTCTGGTTTGCACATGCTCAGAAGCAGCTTCTTAAGAGTCTGGGAGATAAATTCTTCAAAGGTTCTGCTGGCACTGAACACACATACTCAAGAGCCTCACAGCTCCCATGTGTGACTGCACTGCACATGTGCTATCCCCACCAAACAACTCAGCATGCTCCATCTCTGGGTGCTGGGGCTAAGCAGGACTTTCCCGGCAATTGTGGCTCTGGGCTGCTGTGGTGCCAGGCACCAGAACTGAGAGCAACGGACTGTCTGTCCTGTAGACTCAATGCTCTTGCTGATGGTGCCCAACAGTGAGGAGGAAGGAAGCAGCCTGATTAGAAGGCAGAGGTGAGGAATGGTGGAGGTGTGCGTGTGCTTGGGTGTGGGGGGGACATGAAAAGAGGGGAATGAAAGAGCCAGAGGGTGGGGAGATGCAGACAGGGAAGCAGTAGCCGACAGGAGCTGGGGGAAGGGGCAGCAGAGGGAGTTAGGGAGGAGAGGTGCAGGTGTCTCGGTGGTATACAGGTGTGATTCAGGGGGAAGAGGGGTAGGAGCCTGGGTCTGGATAGGGTTAGAGGGAATGGGAGCAGGAGCTGGGGGAAGGGGCTGGAGAAGGTGAGACAGATGTGCTGGGGGACAGGGAAAAAGGGTCAATAAGCACTTAGAGCATACTATCTTCGGGTTTTTACACTGCTGCCCACCATTGTAACGTCTGAGCACCTTCCATGCAAAATCCCCTCCAGAATGTGGAACTGAACCCAGGAGTCCTGAGACTCTACATTCCTCTGCTGTCAGCAAATATGTACGAAACCTACTTGCAAAGTGTGTCTTATCTCCCTCTATGCCCAATCCACGTACTCTGCCTGCTGCTCCTATCAATAACTCTGTTAGCTCAAGTGGCAGAGGTCTGAGAGGATCTAAAGTTTCCAAACCTGCTTGATGACCCGGGCGGGTGTCAGTATGATGCTACATGATGGAATTTCTGTGTTCTCAGATTTTTTTTTTTACATGAGGAAACGACATCCAAAACCATTACATTAAAAGAACATTATTAAGGTTGCAAAGCTGAGCACTCAAAAGTTAGGAAATGTCAGAATTAAGTTTGCCCATACAGCCTTAATCCAGCCCCCTTGTGCATATGGCTTTTGATACAGTGTACGTACTATTTTTTTTCCAAAGGATTCCTGCCTCATTCAGTGCTTTGGGAATTAATCAGGTTTATATACTGAAGGAGGGTGTTATCTCTAGGACTCCTGCTGCACGGTGGAAGGTATGTAGTGAATAAGGCAGGAAACTGGAGGAAGAGAAACAAGATTGCCTGTTCTCAAATGGATAAAGCAGATGTTAATTCCCTTGAAGTTTACACCGCTGGTGTGGAGTCAGGAGTCTGGCTGATCCCATAGGCGTGGTGGGGGAGAAGGACCTAGATGGGAAATGTTAGCCAAAGGATTAGGAAACTGTTAAAAAGAGCAGACTGAGGAAGAAAGGTAGGGTCTGCAGTGAAAGAGACGGCAACTAATTTCCTAGACACTGGGGAACCAGGCAGAGCAATGCAAGAGGAGGGAGGGTGCATGAGAGATTGTGCAGAGGAGGAGGAAGTGTGAAGGACTGCATGGAGGATGTGAAAGAGGGACCACAAGAGATCATGCAGAGGAAGTGGAAGGGCCATGAGGGATTCGCGGCAAAAGAGGAAGAACGACAAGGTATCACATGCAGTGGGAGGAAGATCCGGGACTGTGTGGATCATGCGGAGTAGGAAGAGGGACCACACAGGACCATGCTGAGGAGGAGGGGGAGGAAGGACAACAAGGGATTGTGCAGAGAAAAGACCACAAAAGATCATGAGGATGATGCTCAGGGGCCAACAAGGTATCACTGGAGGAAGAGGGACCACAAAGGTTTGCTCAGAAATAGAGGAGGAAGCAGCATGAAGGACCATACAAGGATGAAGAACTGTTGGTAAGAGAACAAATGCAGGTGCCTTTAACAATGGGTGATGAGTAAAGAACAACTAGGTTGAGGAAAGAGATGGCTGCACAGATGAGAGTCACCCACAGCAACCTCTCAGGAGATGTGTGAATCTTTATTCCCTCAGGTGCAGTGGGCTAGGGCAGAGCCTTATCCCCTGTTACAGCCAGCACAGGGGAGGGACTAATAAATTTCCCAGGTGTCCGAGGCTGTCTCCAGCCTTGGGAGCTACCTTGGGAAAGTGGCTGAAATAGAGAGCACTCATGGCTCCCCTCTCAGTCATGGCTCCACATATGATGATCTGGTTTTAATGGGTGAACTCACTTCACATACACAAAGCCAGAGGCTCTGTGCAGGTGATGAGCATGGGGGCTAGCAAGTAAAATCCACCCACAACCCAGAGGCAAGGTGCGGGTTTGCGGTGCACCCCGCCCCGGGGCATCTATTACTACAGCCTATGGGCTGGAAGAGTGTGTGCTCCAGCACCTCCACCCTGCTTGTGTGGGGCAACAGTGCCACTGGAGACACGTAATAATGGATCCCCTGGTCCATCTACATCGCTGCCCTCTGCAGCACACAGGACAGCAGATGCCTTCATGTATAGCCCTGCTGCACAAACCTACTGCGGCACATTAGCATGGCACGTCTTTGCACAAGCACTGTGCACCATGGTAATTTTCAGCCAACATGCTCAAAACAGCCCGTATTTTGTGTGTGTAATATACCTAACTACATTAAAAGAACATTAAAGTTACAAAGTCAAGTGTTTAAAAGTTAAGAAATGCCAGAATGTAGCTAACCCTTGCAGCCTTAATTCAGTCCTCTTGTGTGTATGGATTACGATACAGGTTACGTCTATACTTGGAACTAGGGGTGTGATTCTCGGCTCACGTAGCCATACTCACACTAGCTCTCATTGCACTAGCGTGCTAAAAATAGTAGAGTAATCATGGTAGCAAAGACTGAAGCAAGCGGCAGGAACAGATTAGTCACCTTGAGTACAAACCTGACTGGAACCCCCTGGGTACATACTTAGGGTGGCTAGTCTGTGCCACTGCTTGCTGCTGCCCATTCTACCGCAGCTACACTACTATTTTTAGTGTGCTGGCTTGGTGAGAGCTAGTGCAAGTGTATGAAAACTGGGATTCACACTCTCAGCTCCAAGTGTAGACACAGCCACAGTCCTCAATTAAGTGATCACATACTACTTTTTACCACAAGACCCCTTCCTCATACAGTGCACAGAAGGAACGTGCTCACTTAATGGGCAGCTATTTAATGGTTTGTGTTATCCTCATCATTCAGCCTGGGCCCCATGAATTATTTACTGCACGCTATTTAAACCCTGCTCCAAATACAGAGTAATTAATTTCCTCCTATGGTTTCTATGATGCTCTCACCATAGTATCTGAATGCTTCATACCTAGTAGTGAATGTGTCTTCACAACACCCCTGTAAGGTAGTTCAGTGCTATTATCCCCATTCTACAACTGGGGAACTGCGGCACAGAGAAATTAAGGGTAAAACTGTCTAAAGTATCCACTGATTTTGGATGCCCAACTTGATACACCTCAGACCTAATTTTCCAGAAAACTTAGCATTTTTATAGCACTTTACATGTTCAAAAACAGCTCCAATTGATTTCAGCTGCGGTCATGAGTGCTCTGGACTTCTCCAAATCTGGCCCCAAGTATTTCATGTTGGGCACTCAGAGAGGACCGAGATTCCCTTTTTGTACCAGAATTGTACTAACATGTTCAAATGTTTAGGATTTTGTTCTTAGGCAAAAGCATGAAAAAAAATCTTCCAATTTCTATAAGCAGAAGCAACTTATTCACTGACCTGGTTTCATCTTGTAGGTAAACTTATGTTCCGGGCTGTTCAATAGATCAACAAATTCCTTCAGAGCTGCATAAAACGGCTGCACTTTTTCAGCAGGTATGTCAAAAACAGTGTCTCTTGTTGCATTATTATAATTGATACGAACCACCTGGCCTCTGTAATCTACACTGAGAGAAAGAGAGAGAGAGAGAGAAATATATTATCATGCCACTCAACCTTTTAGCATATTTTTGTTTTGGTAAGGACGGGTTCACTTTCCCCTTTCAGTTGCTGGCTGTTACAGCACAGTTCAACAATGAAGTGTCGTGCTATGACAAAGTATTGTACATTATTGCATATCAGACTCCTGCTTTCAAGTTTATCAATGGGTCAGGGTTTAGGAAGATTAATAATCAAAGGGACTTGAGCTCCTAAATATTTTGGCATTTTTGAAAATCCCACCCTTATTCTGTCTATATAAAAAATCAACACACACACACATAATGTGTGTGTTTTGATTAATAGATTTTTACAGCCAGAGGGGACCATTATGACATCTAACCTGACCTCCTTGTCATGTAACAAGATTAAAAAAAGAGGATAAAACAGCAAGACAGCCTCTATGTAACATAAGAGTTTTTTCTATCTAGGAGCTTCATAACATGGCAGCATCCCAGCATTGGTACACATTTCATATAGAATTTAGATAGAAGACCAACTGAAGGATATCAAGAGAAGGTTAGTATGGTTGCTTTGAGTTCCTGGAGGGTGGAAAGAATGAGTAGGGAAAGTTGAGACAATGATAAATTCAATAATAAAAATAATAAAGAATAACTGACATATTATAGTACAACATAATTCAGTTGATAAGACATAATAATTAAAGACAAAATTGAAACACTGTTTTCCCACAAGGTGGCAGGCATAGACCCTCTAACATCTTTCTGCAAGAGAAACAATGAAAGATGCCAAATAACCTTTTTCATTCAAGCAAATTGTTGCTGTGCAACTAGTACTTAATTTGTAATGAAAGAGGTGCTGGGGCTCAAACAATTTTTTTACATTCAAAACTAATGCAGCAAGCCCAGAGGTGTCAGGGCTATGAACTGCCAAGCCTAGAGGTACTGGGGCTCAGCCCTGGCAAGCCCAGGCACAAATTAAGCACTGTGTGCAACCCTGTAATTCCTGGTGAACCAGCAATATGGTATGAGCTACTACTGGGATTCTATTAGATATAATCACACCCTTGACTATTACTCACTCTATAATCCTCTGTTTAGACTGCATAGTGAAATCACAGTAGTCGACCCCAACATCCGTGAAGTCTACAAGGGTGGAGGAGAGGATCTGAAAGGCTTGAGGATTTTGCTCCTTCAGCTTGTTGGATACATGAAATCCATCTACAACTTCACTTTCACCTCCAGTAGCTGCTTGTTTTATACAATGAAGAAACTGAATCTGTAACAAATTAACACCTTATTACAGGAAGAAATAGCCTGGATATTTAATAATTCATTGTCATCAGTTCATTCATCTGTCCTGTCATTTAAAAAATATCCTAAAAGACTAAAGGACCTGTATCCCCATTGTATTACCCCAGTTTCACACCAGTCTGAGTCTACTGTCACAATGGGGTAAAACTTAAGTAACAAGGTGGTGAATTAGGCCTAAATCACAAAGCTCTGGTTCCATAAATTTCTTCTGGCCTGAGTCAGGTTGGTACAACTGGTGATTACTGCCATATAATTTAAACACACACTGTGGTCATTACAGCCTCTCTAAATATAGGGAATTATTTTCCACTTGCAGAAATGACATAATTAGGTGTGAAAAATGTGCTCACCAAGGATGTCAGTATGTGTCACTGGCTCATTGAAGACAGCAGGTCTAAGATATCTACAGCAATAATGGACCCTCAGGAAACATACACTTCTGTTTATGTTGTGTTCAGAGTTCTCAAAAAATTGGACAAGATGGAGCTGAAGGGCCAAATTCTGCTCACAGTTGCACGAATGTAAATCTGGGATAACTCTATTGGGCCCAGTGTTGCTCCTACTGATGTTAATGGCAAACTTCCAGTGACATCAAGGAGAGCAGCATCTGGTCCACTTACTGCAGTTTACATCAGTGTAACTAAACACAGAATTGGACCATCATTTACATGAATGCAACTTTCACTGAAGTCATTGAGGACTGCACCCAAGTAATGGAACTGAGTTAGAGCTAAAGAAAATGGGAAGTAAAACAGAGAAGTGAGGGGAAGGAATGGATTCAGGTATTGTTAGCTGCCCCTGTAGTATGGGGTGACGTAATATGGCAGTGATTATAGGGAGAAACAGGGGTAACTGTTGAGGCAGAAGAAGAATCAATCAACATAACCGCAAATGAAATGAAGTTTAGATTCTAAATACAACCTGCCCTAGATAAGGGATGGTGTATGGCTGCACTGGCCCAGGCACAAATGTGGTTCAGGGACTCACAATTCGTTCCCTGTTCCTTCTGTGTGCTGGAGCGGGAGTACATTACTTCATCCTTTTCACAGAAGAGCTTGCTCCCACTTCATATCCCAGACCAGCTAATCTGGACAGAAAGGTCCAGAATAGCTGGTAGAGAGGTCCAGAATTGCTGGTAGAGGTGCGCAGGAGACAGGATACCCATTTGCTAAAGGCGGGGAGTACTAGGAAAGCAGCTTCTTCTCTCACCACCATGGCGAGAATTGCAATCTGTGCATGAGCAAACAGGGGCATACATGGTCAGGGAAGGACTGTGACAGTCTAACCCATAAGTGATAATGGCCCTATGACAAAACGCCAAGGGATGCAAAATGAGACATTAGCTTTCCAGTCTAGAGAGATGGAAACTCCAACCAAAACTAGTACTCATCTTTAACAGGATATCATGTGAATGAGATCAAAACTTTGGAAAAATCCTCAGATATTTTTATAGGTGACCTCTAAAAATTAATCATCATCCATTTAGGGCCATACTTTCTGTTTTAGATAGTATCCAGATACTGTATAATAATTAGGAAATTAGCACAATCATGCATTGTGAGCCTAGATGGCAAATATGTTTCTAATGTGATTAAAAACAATTTTTATTTTAAACTGGGGTTTTAGAATTGAACAGGTTGTGCTTTTTTTTTTTTTTTTTTTTTTTAATGTTTTATGGCAGTACGTGATGTTGTGGTTTTGGCATAGATAAGATAGTGAGCTAAGGCACATCTGTTTCCTATTAATGAACTACCACTCTATTCCTATTCCACATTAACCAACAGCATCTAAATGAATTTTCAGCAGGTAGCACATTAATGTGAAAGATTTGGCTCCTCTTCAGAAATAGATCATGCTGGCCTGTTCATTTCATCACAAAATGATTACTTCCAGCCTTGGGGGGGTGGGGGGGGAGGGGGGATTGCAAGTATGAAATTTGAAGGTACAAATGTTTGCTGTAGTATCTTTAGTTAGTTATACATTCTTTGTGGTACTCTCTTTCAGGTCTGTTGTGAATTATGTGAATCATGTTGTGCTGTCATGGTGACTCAGAGTTCTACAGGTTAACTGGGTAAAAATGTTTTTCCTGTTATTAGTTTAAAGTTGTTGCCATCCAGTTTCACGGGATGTCCCCTTGTTCTTGTATTATGCTTAAGTAAACAGAAGTGTCGATTTACCTTCTCTCACTCATAAGTTTTATATCTTGATCATCTCTCCTATTTGTCTCCTCTCTGAATTAAACATACCTAGAATAAATTTTTCAAAGCTGCCTAAGGTATGCCCAGTTCCCATTAGTTTTAATCTTTTCAATCTCTCCTCCTGTGGAAGTATCCTCGGGCCTCTAATAGTTTTCTCTGAACTTCTGTTTTTGTTATATTATTTTTCAGATAAGGTAGTCGGAAATGGACACGGTATTCAAAGTGAGGAACCCTATTGAATTGGATAATGGCACTGTAATATATTCAATATCATTTTTGTGCAACATACCGCATCCTAATATGCAGTTTGCTCTTTTTGACTTGCACATTACACAGAGGTTTTCACTTAGCTCTCTACGGTGGCTCCCTGATCTTTTTACTAAGTAATTACAGTTAATTCAGTCTCCGGTAGTATGAATATTTCAAATGTCTCCTTCCAATGTGCACTACCTTCCATTTGTCAAAAGTGAATTTCATTTGCCATCCCTGCTGCCCAGTCAGCTGGTTTTGTTAGGCCGCTTTGGAGTACCTCACATTCTTCCCTAATCTTGATTTACTTAAATCATGTTATATCTTCTTACTGTTCACTGTCTTTTCTAGTTCATTAATGAATATTTTACACAACATTAGCACTATTATAGCTCGATGGCTCACCTTTTGCCACATGGAAAACTGACTATTTATCCCTGCTCTTTTCTGTCTCAGCCAACTTCTAATCCATGACACAGAACTTCACCTTCACCCCATGACTAGTTAATTTTCTTAATAGCTTCTTGTAAGGGACTTTGTCAAAGTTTTATGAAAGTCCAAATAAATTATATCTACCAGTTCTCCTTCATCTAATAGTTTGTTGACTCAAAGAATTCCAGCAGACTGGAGCAGCAATTTTCCCCATTATAAACATTTGATGCTGTAAGAAAATTAATGACTTACAAATGCATGGAAGTAAACATCACTGCTATTGATTTTACTTGATCCTCCCTGTGCCATCTCATTCAGTACAATTTAGGAACAAGTTTTCCTTAAATATTATTTTAAATTGTTTTCAACTTCTAGAGAAAGTGATGCGGTGACTTGATCTCAGTCCATAAATACCACAGAGAATGTATCTGGTACGAGGGAACCTTTTCATTTAGCAGACAACTGCATAAATAAAGCCAATGGCTGGAAGCTGCAATTAAATTCAAATTGGATATAAGATGCAATTTTTAATTTCAGTAAGGGTGATTAAGCGCCTCAGCAGCTAACTAAAGGAAGTGGTGAATTCCCCATTATTTGGAGTATTTAAATCAAGACCAGATGTCTTTCTAAAAAGATATCCTCTAGTTCAGCTACAAGTTATTGGGTTTGATAGTGTTCACTCATATAGCAGGAAAGAATAATTTGCTCCATTGTAGGAATTACTGGTGTAATTCTATGGCCTGTTATATGGGAATTCAGACTAGATAATCATAATTCTTCCTATGGATTGATGAACTTTAAAAAAACGGAAATTTTACATATATCTAAGTTTTGCTCAGCAGACACATTACCTGTCGCTTTTTCAAATTATAGGAACAATGAGATTTTTCCCCTTGCTTTGTGGAAAAGTCAGTAAGTTCCCCTTACCCCAGGTGGATGCTGCAGAACAGGGTAATCAGTGTGAAAACTTAGCTTCCCAGATGTGTAAGCCACATTATTAGCATCCATTTTGTCTTCCACTTGCCAAGTAGGGCTTTACAATGAAAGAAAAAAAAAAAAAAAGAGGAAACATGTTAAAGCCATCTGCCATTTAAGCCAGCAAAGTACAATGAAACTATGAAATCTCAATACAAAAGAGCTATTAAAAATTGCTGGATATAGAATTATTGTTATAATGAGAAGGGACAAACAATGAGTCGCCAGTGCCCTTCACAGCACTGAACTGGCCATTTCAGCAACTGTGCAACAGAAGCAATCACTTCAAAAATGATGCTAGTGTGTGTGGAGTAGGCCAGACAAGTTGCCCCCAGTGCTATATCTCTGAGGGTATTGCCTTTGCTTTTCTAGTAAAAGCTCTGAGGACTGTATTGTGCCAGCATTCAGCAGAAGGGCAGGACAGAACCTCAGCTGGTGTAAATCAGTGTAGCACCTACTGGGGTTGCACAGGTGTAAGGGAGGACAGCATTTTTGGCACGGTTTGTTCAATTTGGTCATTTCCATTTCCCCAAAGAAAAAGTGGAAGCACTGTAAGTTGCATTTCTTTTTCAAAGATTTTTAAGCCTTTAAATGACAGGGAAAATGTCAAATACAGAGTACCCTTTACAACATGGCCTTTCCCATATTCCCTTAAAAGAAAAATCTCTGGATGAAAGACGTCAAGATATAATTTCTTGCCATTCCCTTCGTACTTTCTGAGAGCTAGTCCCATTATTTTTCCTCTACATTTTTATTAAATTTCAAGATGGATGAACTAAAATCAGCATGAGTCTTGCTGACAACAGCAACAAATTATATATTGTAAGGTGGTTGAATACAAAGACATACAGTCATCAGATTTGCAATGCAGTCAAAATATGTTTCAAATGACACACCATGCAGCAAAGTCTAAGGCCAAAAACCACATGTTCTGGTTTGCACAAAGTTCATACAATTGAATACAGTTCATGGCAAACGTGTAATATAGATCCAGACATTTGTCTGGGAAGTGTAAGTCAACATATGCAGTCCATGTAATCACTGAAGAAGACATGATTTAAAAAGAAAAATATGAAGACTCATTTCCCCTTGTGAATTACTGCAGACTAAATATACAAAACACAAGCCATTTGAAATATAGAGATAATGCTTATTTTTTATAAAATGCCCAGGTTAAACTTGAAAACACAGTTCAAAATGATTTATATATTGTATACAAAAACTTTTGCTTTGGGACAAGAATTTTTAAGTATAGGTATGCGAAAAACTGCTAAAGGCAGATTTATAAAATTGCTGGGAAAAAAACCCAGAATATTAACAAATGTGTTCAACTGTCATGGGGAAATTCATTTAATTATATGGTATAGTAAGTATTCATCACATGTGACTTCAGTTCTAAAATATGAAGACCTCAACCACATTTGCACAGTTACTAATTTTAAGGCCAAAAAAAAAATGTGTTATGTCATCCTTGTCATTAGTGTTGAGGGTAGCTTTGTCGTGGTAGGCTCCAGAGCAATTTAATGGCTCCAAAGCATTTTAATCTACTGTAATGCTCTTGCTTCTGAGAAAATATATACCTCTGGTGAAATAAAAATACATTATAGAATTACTGTGACATTTTACAAAAAGGCACATTCATTCTGTTAAACAAGGTATGCTATGGGAGTTAATCCACTGGAACATTCCTTCCATGTAAGGAGATTCTATCAAAGATCAAGTTACTAACTTATAGCCAAATATTGATTAAATGCAAAAAGCTACATTAATGCACTGTCCAGCTTGAAAATGTAATGCACAGAAGTTAGCAAATTCAGACCTTAACATTGCTAAAGAGGTAGAACTCAGTCACAGGGAGAGTTGCTGTCTGATGAGAGTGCTGGTGCAAGAGGTAAAGGAGGAAAATATGGGTAATCCCAGAGGACTCTGATCCCTCAACAGAGAACAAAATGGGCTGGGAATGGTCTATGGATCAGTAACAAAGGTCAGATTCCAACTTCAGTTGCACAGCCTGCATGGCAGAAAATCAAGCACTGTGCAGGTACAACAATCGTGTGTGTTACATAGCAATACATACAGCCCACCTGAGATGAGAAGCTAGCCTGTTAGCTGTGACTGGGAATCATTGGCACTGAAATCTGCAACCATACTGAAACTCAGGCCACAATAATTAAAAGGTTCTGGAACCCAAGCCCAGTTTAGCAAAAATATACCACATTTTTGTATCTGAAATGGGAAAACTCAGCATGAGGCAGGGGTTCTCTGGCCATTGAAAAACATAATAAAATATATAGTTAAAAATATTTGACTTAGAGGAAAATAACATAGTGAGTTTCTGACTTTATAAGAGGTACTAGAGAGACTACGGGCTTGTCTAAATGGTGGCAAACCACACAAAGAGGCATAATTTGTGAAGTGCTCTAATGTGTTGCGCTTTAATTCCCTATGTTGGCACACTACCTACTTCGCATTGGTGTAGTTCTGTTTCAGCTACACCAGGAATCTCTTATGTATCTATTTGTCCAAGCTTTCTCAACTGACTGAAGCAGGAAACCCCGATTCTTAGCCAATCATCTTCTGCGTTACAGCTGCAGTATCTGGGGAGTGCAATTTGTCTGATCCACTCATCCAGAATATCAGTGACTGACTGGAAACCCTGTATAGTATAGCGACATACATAGAACTTGGAGGGAGCAGCACAGGTTGAAGAAAAAAGAACAGTTTGGAAGATGCACCAGGAAGTCAGTCTTGTGCACCCGTGGCTGGCATGCAGACCACGGAATCTCTGTAAATAGATATCCTAATAGTCAGTTTAGTTTTAGAAACAGGGAGTCCTCTCAAGTTATTACCCAGCACGCAGTACATAAAACATACAGTAACCTACATACTTTGGTAAGGACACCTTTAAAAATGAGTGACGATAAATAAAAATAAATGTACTTGGTTTCTGTGCTCCGAAAGGACATATGGACAAGATTAAAGACTTTAATTCCCTCTTCATTTGTGGGAGCTGCATTTACTGTTGTTCTGTTATTGGGAGAATCTGCAAACTGGTTGGGATATTTATTTAGCAGGGTTGCCAATCTGAAATTTATAATTTTGTTTCTAACGTTTGTTAGACCTTTGGATTTGAGTGCCATTAAAATAACAAGGAATTATTAGGAATTATTATTTGATTATAGTTTTTTTTTTTTAAAAACCCTCAACATTACACATAAGCACTAATTGAACTTCTTTGTTAGGGTCTAAGAAATTGATTGTAAAGTCTTTCGCTAAGTCTTTTGCTAAGAACTGCATGTTCAATAGGTTCTTACTAAAAAATGTGCAGTTGGGCTGCATATGGAAATGCCAATACCAGATGCTGAAATTTCCTAATAATTCATGTCTCAAAGTGAAACGCATTAAAACTGGGGGGAAAGATGCTAAATGTAGCCAAAAATATCATCAGGAGAGAAATGAGTAAGTGTAACTGAATATTAAGTCCCCCTCTATTCTATGATCTTTTAAATGAATTCCAACTACAAATGACATATAAAAATATTGAAAAAGACTTTAATGTGCTACATTATATAGCCTAACAAACATAATAGCTATATAAAAGACAGTTACCTTTTCCGTAACTGGTGTTCTTCGAGATGTGTTGCTCATGTCTATTCCACAATAGGTGTGCATGCTTGCAACGTGCACCGGTGCTGGAAGTTTTTCCCCTAGCAATACCCATAGGGGAGCGCCACAGTGACCCCTGGAGTGGTGCCTCCATGACATGGTATAAGGGGCACTGCTCGCTCTCCCCACCCTCAGTTCCTTCTTACCAGACAACTCCGACAGAGGGGAAGGAGGGTGGGATGTGGAATAGACATGAGCAACACATCTCGAAGAACACCAGTTACGGAAAAGGAAACTGTCTTTTCTTCTTCTTAGAGTGATTGCTCATGTGTATTCCACAATAGGTGATTCCAAGCTATGTCCATTGGAGGTGGGTAGGAGTTCACAAATTCTTGGGACGGAGTACAGCCCTGCCGAACCCGGTGTCTTTCCTGGTTTGGGAGACGATCGCATAGTGCGAGGTGAACGTGTGAACTGAAGACCACCTGGCAGCCCTACAAATGTCCTGGATGGGGACGCGGGCCAAAAAGGCAGCCAACGAGGCTTGCGCCCGAGTCGAGTGCGCCTTCACAATTGGTGGCAGAGCGATTCCCGCCAGGTCATAACAAGTACGGATGCATGAAGTGATCCAGTTGGAGAGCCGCTGAGTGAAGATCGGCTGACCTTTCATGCGCTTGGCCAGGCGATGAATAGTTGCGAGGACTTTCTGAACAGCTTAGTCCGCTCCAGGTAGAAAGCCAGAGCCCGTCTCACATCCAGCGTGTGGAGATGGCGCTCCTCACTGGACGCGTGGGGCTTGGTGCAGAGGACCGGTAGAAAAATGTCCTGACCCATGTGTTAGGCGGAGACCACCTTCGGGAGGAACGAAGGGTGTGGGCGGAGCTGGACCTTATCCTTATGAAACACCGTGTATGGGGGCTCGGAGGTCAGGGCCCTGAGCTCCAAGACCCACCTGGCCAACGTGATTGCAACCAGGAAGGCCACCTTCCACGAGAGGTGGGACCAGGAGCACGTGGCTAGTGGCTCAAACGGGGGCCCCGTGAGACGGGCCAACACCAGGTTTAAGTCCCACTGCGGAACTGGGGGCCTAAAATACGGGAAGAGACAATCCAACCCTTAAGGAATCGGCCAGTTATAGCATGGGAGAATACCGTGTGGCCATGCACTGGGGGATGGAAGGCCGATATCGCCACCAGGTGCACCTTGACTGACAAGGGCGCCAGGTCCTGGGCTCTAAGGTGGAGGAAGTAGTCCAGAATAAGATGGATCAGGGCGGCCACCAGGGAAACGCCCCGCTCGTCCGTCCATCTGGAAAATCGAGACCACTTTGCCAAGTAGGCTCGGTGCATGGAGGGTTACCTGCTTTCTAGGAGGACATATTAAAGCCCTTCTGAGCACGTCCTTTCCTCCCTACCTAACCATTGAACAGCCACGCCATGAGGTGGAGTGCCG